AGGCAACCCATTCCTCATCATCTATGCAGAGTGGCCTGTGCTCTCCCAGGGAGTACGGTCCTGTGTTTGGGCTCCTCATCACAGTAGGGTGTTTAGCTCTATCCTGAAAGCTATTCTGAAGATAGAATTGCTAACTGTATTCTGAGATTGGCCTATAGTAGTCATCAATCTGTTATCACAGTGCTTTAGATATATTCATTAAGCTTCACAATTATCTAACTTGATCCCTCTAAGATGGAGAGATATTTTCATTTTACAGCTGAGGAACTGAAGCAAGTACTCAACCTAAAAAGTTTACAATTTCTTTTTCATGGAGTACTCAGTATTACATAGTGCTTTATGCATTCAAAGCATAGCTGTGGCGTAACTCCTAGATGGGGGGTGGGGGCATGTAGCAGTTCTGCAAACTGATCAGCTTGCTCTCCAGAGCATCATGCAATGAACTGGGTATAATAGTGACTGTGCGAATTATCTAGCACTGCAGAAGCAGAGTCAGATGTCAATTCTCTGTGGGTAGTCGTCAACAAAGCCAAGATCCATTGTTCTCCTCTTGTGTTCTCTACCTGAACTCACACATTTGCTCTATGGGAAAAGCATATGCAGTTCTTTCATGCAGAAGAAAGGTAACCTGGCCAAGAGGATTTTTGTGGGGATGGCAGGAGATAGCTCCATGAGAGAAAGGTTTCCTTTTTGTTGTAAATTAGGTTCCTGAGCTAAATCTGGTGAAGCACTTGAACTCCTCACACAAAAGGTTCCAGGATTCTTTAGCGCAGGCCAAACATTATTTTGTTCACTAGCTTTGTTTTTTGAAATGCTGTGATGGTTTTGATTGAAATCTTCCAGAGAAAAGCAAGAAAAAGAGGAAGAGGAGAATAGGAACTGGCCTAAGAAAGCTTGGCATAGAGCTCAGCCTAAACCGTTTAACTTTGAAGGTGTTTTATAGGCAAGTGAAATATGCTTTAGATGGAAGATCTGGGTGAACGAAAACAGGCATTGTCCAAAAAAAATCAATAAGGGTGTGTTTACCTTCCAGTGAGTGGAGTTAACATTGCAATAAAGATATTGTGGCTATTAAAAAAAAAAAAAAAAGCCCAGCTAACAAGGAATACATGAATATCATGAAAAAGTCAGGAAATTCAAGAGCTAAAGGTTAAATAAATTCAAACTCTTAAAAGCATTGCAATGCAATGTTAAAGGTCACCCAACTTGTCACTTCTCTGAGACTATATGAGAACAGAGTGACCCCCGACAGGAGACTGGTGTCCTGAGACCGGCCCTCTGTCCCAAGTTAAAGTACACACTAGGCTATCATTTCTGTAACAGATTTGTTACCAATTTCTGTATTATTTGAGCTTAGTGCTATTCCTCATATTAGCAACCTTTTATGGCCGCCTGCTTTCATAGCCAGAAATTTCTAGTCAGCTTATATACCTTCTAGGGAGAAATGTTTGACAAGGTACCTGCTTTGCTTTTATATAAATGAAGAGCTTCTTCTAAGAAATAAGGAGTCCATGATTTTTGTTTTACTTTGAGAAACAAGACAACAAAAACCAAAATTCATCAGAAGCTGTTTACATTTATCTTGCACTGTCCATTTGATAGCTTTTTACCAGGAAAGCTTCATTCAGGTGGAAGAGTTGATTTTCACTTGGTAAATAGTCTAGCAAAAAATCTAGGTCTCTGTGTGAAGACACAGAACGGACAAATGAGGTTCTTCCCCCAGGAACAAATACACCAGCTGAGCGGTTGGGTTCGAATATCTGTCTAAGGCTATTTGGCTTTTGTTACATCTTGCTGGGGTAATGTACTATTCAGGAAGCTACCCAGAAGATTTCTGAGACTGGTTCTTCTTGCTACGCTGAGGTTCTTTCTCAGTGAACTGTTTCTCTGGTCACGCATAGGAATTATGGGAAAGTACCTGAGAGCTATCAGGACATGAGCTAGCTCTAACAAATGACTTGAGGCAATCAGTTAGCATCGCTGTCCTTCAACTACTGACACCTGTCATTATATAAATGGTACTGCTGCTTTTCTTTTTCCTCCTAAAATATAATAGGCTACTCTAAGTCCATTCCATTAAATCTAATGTGGTTCAAAACAACTTTGACCAGGTGCTGAAACTGTTGGTCAAATCAGAGGGAAGCAGAGGGTCCCATCACTCTCATTGTGATGGCACCTGTGAAGTGTTTGAAACCATGGCTTCAAAAGACCTTGCAAAACCTTACTACTTGAGTCCTAATGCTCCTGTGGTAGCGCTGAGCTACTCTTCCTGTCAGAAAAGCCTGGGAGAACATTCACTGCTAGAGTGTAGAACCTGTTGTAAGTCACATGTGCTGAGATAATGAAGAAAAAAATGCACTGTGATGTGAATGTGCAGGAAAAAACCCACATTTCACTGATGTGACCAGGCTATGGCATAGGTCTCCTTCCGTATAGACTCTCAGATTTTCTTTCCAGAAAGCCAGGGGACAAGGGCAGGAGAGAATGGAGGTTGTTGACCTGTATGTAAGTCGTGGGTCAAGAGCATGTGTCTAGGCCTGTGAAAGGCTGGGAAATGCTGCTGGGTCCCACAGTTAAGCTATACCTTATGTATTGCCTGCTAATTCTTCTGAAATTATTCCTGACTTTGAAAAGAAAAAGTCCAGGAAAAGGTTGGTATCTTCCTTTTGCTGTATGAACTTCTCATAATGAAAAATGTGAGTTCCAAAAATACATGCAGAGAAAGGTCACTTGGTAATAGTACAGAAGGGCTTATCTCCATGTTTTAAGAATGCTCTTTTTGGAAGTTCTCTCAGGATTTGGCAGTAATCGGGGAAAACTTTAGGTTTAAAAAAGTGGTAATAAGGCACCTACTTCACTTTTCTGAAGTTAGTCCCAGACGGCAGCCTTTCTCCCAGTCCACTGGGATAAATAAAAGTACAACAGAGGAGTGATCAGGGCATTAGAGGGATCCCTGCATTTAGCTTCATCATAACAAAAAAAAATGCAATGGTCTTAGAGTTGGGCAGCTCATAGAATGGAATAGAACTAGAAAAATTTGAAAATAAAACAATACTATGTTGAAGAAAAGCACATGACATTTAAAAAATTGGCTTATCAAAAAATAAATCCGTCAAACTTCCATCCTCTGAAACTTATTAGACAAAATTGAATTGCATTGGAGTCTGTACCCTAATTATCCTGCAGTAAATTTAATGTTAGCAACCAGGACTGAAACTAACCATCTGGTTCATTTTGCCCAGTGCTTTGCCATCACAGGCAATCATGTTATATATTCCATTTAATAAACTGATTGAGCATCACTTTGAGACTGACCACAGAGTTGCTCCCCTCTCAGTTCTGCAGAGAGGCTGCCCTGCAACCTCATTATACTGTAGAAGCAGCCTTCTAATTTCCAATTTCTATTCATGAGAAATTTATTTTCCTTTGTTCTTAAACCAAACATAGTCTCTTAGTTTATAGCAGTCGTCTTACCCTCTCCATGATCTACATTCTTCCACTTAATTCCTTATAGCCCTTCTCTGCACCTATTAAATTTGGATTTCATCTGTTACGAGCAAAGGTGACCCAAATGGTACAGATTATTACTGTGTTTATGTTTAAACATCAGTAGCTGGTGATAGGGACAAGTAAATCACAACCTGATGTCTGATACAATTTTTTATTCAAACTATTTATAGCAAACACATTTGTTTCACACTATTATTCTGAAGTGAAAATGCTCAGTTTCAGATTTGACTGTAGTGTGTTGAATGCAGAAGTAAATAATTCAGTTGGTATTTCTAAAAATAAAATTAGTTGATGAGTCAGAGCAAAATTTCATTTTCCTAAATGTTAAGGCTGGAAGGATGGGATTATTGTGATCAGAGTCTGATCTGGGGCTATGTCATGTCTTAGGATTCTGCCCTCTAATTCTTGCATCAGTTTGTAATTAAGCTAGAACATTATTAGGACAAAATTGAAAAAAGGGCCCAAACTACATTCTTGCAACTTGCTAAATGTTGTTTCATTCCCAAAAAGAGAAAGGTACACCCCACAGCCATGGCTGCTTCTAATGGTTCATCATTTTCATTTTAAATATCAAAGTTAATTGACATTTAATAATGGGCTGCTTTCTGGTAACTCAGTGCACACTTTTAGAACAACGTGTATAACTATGGACCTCAAAATTCTCTCTTTTTTTTTTGGGTAGTTCAACCTAATGCTATTTATGGGAATCCAAGTCTTAGTAAGAGCCTGTATCAGCCATGTGAGATGTAAGAATAGAAAAGGAAGCAGCTGGGATAAAAGGAAAAGGCATAAACTAATCAAACTCCAAACTCCAATAAAAGCTGCCGTGACAGAAGAGGCTGAAAAACAAAAATGAACACCACATAGAGCAAAAGATCAATATTTTATTGACTGGAAAACAGAGTGCTATATTCTTGTTGGTCAGTCATTATCCATATTGATTTTATGCTGCAGCAGTTCAGCTCTGGCTTAGCTAAGCTCTAATTTTTTTTTTTTCCTCCACTTTTCTACTTAATGCAATGGCTGTCTTTATTACAAATAAAGCCCATTCAGGTCTGCAAAATAACTCTATGCACTTACAGTCAAAGTTTAAAAGAGAATGTATGATTTCAAGTCACGCAAGATGAGAGCTAAAATAGTGCTGTGTGGTGCAGACTCTGCACCATTCACAGTGGCCTAATACAAGTGTAAGAGGCATGGACCAAGAAAGAGAAACTAAGTGCTGGTTACTCTACTCTAGATGATCTTTAATAACAGCTCTTGAGCTCCGAAGCTTAGAAAGCAGATATAATCCTGTCAAAGCCAACTACCTGGAAACTAACACCTTTTACTACTATTACAAGTGAGGATTGCCTAGCTTGCAGTGACAACAGTACAAATTTGCAACATAATACTGGCAAATGCGTATGGCACATGACAAAATGAATCATGTATTGGTTCTAAAGAGCTTATAGCCTGCTGTGGATAAGCACATATTTATGAGAAAGCGTAACAGCGTAACAGCGTGGAAATGGTAAGGTCGTTAACAGTGGCTTGATTGCTGGCAAATGGGTTTTGAGGGGAGGAAAGGTGCAAAGTTAAAGGGACTAGAGTAAGGCAGCTCTTGCCTCTGCTCATAAAAAAGTATATTTTAGCAGGTATTGAGGGTCTTGTGAAGACAATGGAGTTGGAGTCTGTAGGCATATTAGCTAAAGGAAACTACATTAGCGCTATCCAATCTCAGGTGATCCTCTCCTTTTACAGTAGATCAAAGAATAGATTTACGTATTTATGTTCTAAAACAATTATGCCTCAAAGAAAAATTAAGTGCAGCTCACTGATTTTGGGAAAGGGCTTGCCACTCAGTCTTTTGGATGACTAGAACCATGAGAAACTTTTTTTTCCTGAGGCATAATCTTAGTAATGAGAGGAAAATGACCTTTTATCCCTTCATCTAGTCCTGGAATGGACTTCCTCTGACATGAAAGAAATCCTGTGATTTCCTGTTGTGTACCAGTATCCCCTCCTCCTACCTTCTGCTCATACTAGAAGAACTGCTTGCCAGCAGGTTCTTTGTCTGAAGTGTGGAAGGAGATGAGACATTGTTCTGATAAATGTTGTGGTCTAACAGAAAAATGCATATGCTTGGCTTTCCACACCAAAATCTGTATCAGTGGAGTAGTGCTAATGCCTCACCACCAGTCATATGCCACATAGACTTCATACTCCTCTTTGGTTCGTGGGGGATGAAATGTAAATTTTTAAGCTTCTAACAGCAGAGTGCAGTGTGTTACAAGCAGAAGCATGCCGTAGTTAGATTTCAGAAGCATACTGTAGTTAGATTTAAAATATTTACTAATCTCTTCTGAATTGTTTTCTTAGCCAGTATGGAGCTTTTATTTATTTATTTATTTATTTCTACAAGCAGCTGAGAACTATGGTAGAATTAAACTGCTATTGGAAAGTTACTTGGATGACTAAATAACTATTATGCATTATAGCTGATTTTCTTACTGCATGGTAATGAAGTACATGGTTATACAGTGAGAATAAAGCAGCTGTATAGCTCTCTACAGAACTATATAGCAGAGCCACATCTGTCACAAAGGACATCATCCTGCTGAGTGAGGAATCCTTGGCCCACCAGCGAGACAGAGCATCTCACACAGTTAAAGCATTCCCTGTGCCACTGATACTCTTCAAATGAAATAAATTTGGCACCTCCAAGAGCTGAAAGAGAAATGAGATAGAAGATGTGAATTCAGTATTTCTGGATCTGGTTCAGAAAAGAAACAGATTATTTTCTAATGCGTGATCATGTTGGTATTCATATAGCAAACAAACAAATAAACAAAAATCTATAGGTTAAAATAACCTTTGCTTATCAGCAGAGTAGAAAAAAAAGTTAAAATTTAAGATGGTGAGAAATATTTTAAGTAAAGCCACAAGTCACTTGCCTGTTTTCATATCCCATTATGAACTCTGAACAGAGCAGGTTTATCAGCATGTTCGTTAAGGTTTGCAGATTTCCCAAAAAACTCTCATGAAAGTCATTTGCAAAGTGTAGAAACATATAGTTTCTGTACAGCACCAAGTGAAATTTAATTATTTCAATTAAGTTTCTTCAAGGTGGGGGATTTGGAAAATTACCAGATCATGGAATTCCTAGCATAAGTATCTGAAATAAAACATTGCTTTTTTATATATTTTGGTAAAATTATGCAAATTTAATTGGGTATTCATCATTATCTTGTCAAGTTCTCTAATTTAATATACATGCTTTACCAATAGGCAGTTAATCAAATTCAGCTCTGATCTTACCACTTTTGTATTTAAAAACAAAGCCAAACCAATTATAGGCACAAGAGGGGCTTGTGTGCACTGTTGAGGGGGGGAGCCGAGAAGTGCCTTCTCCTGTACTCTTAGGGATGATTTTTAATGTCATCCGAAGGTCTTCCACTTAAAACTGTACAAGACACTAAAACAAATCATGGCAGAATTCCTTTCAGTACATAAAACAATTCCTTAGTAGCAAGGAGACCCGTGTGATCGGTATGTCCTAGCAAGATGTAACAGGGGATCTCTCTAATAGTTAACTCCTTCAATCTTTTGTTATGAGGGGGCTGTTTTTCAGGCTGTTTTCTAAAGTAAAGATCTGATTTGGTAGGAGGCTGATAACACTTCAGTGTCTAGCCCATTCTAAAAGTTTAGACTCACCTGTAATAGGTTTCTTGCAAGCAGTGCACTTCTTTGCATATAGTTTGCTGAAACAATCTTCACAGTATGGATACTCGTCTTTGGAAATAAATCTTTGTCCAGACAGCTGAGTTTTACATCCAGCACACAAAAAACATTCTTTATGCCAAGGCTGGTCATGGTAGGTCACTCCCCCAGAAGTTATCACCTAATGCATTAACAAAAAGCAAACTGCTATGAAACAAAGGCATGAATCATGAGCTATTGAACCCAACATTGTTTCAGCAGTTCTGGTAGCTGTTAAACTGCAGTCTAAATGAAGGATTATTCAGGCTTTCATAAATCCTCCTTGTTTTCTCTTTTTCCAATGTGCACAAGCAAAGAGAGAGAGTGTGGTCATCTCATTTTTTTCTTCATCTGGAATATCAACTTTGGCTAACTCCAGCTGAGCTGTATGTGCCACTGTTTTGTTGTTCTTGATTTTCCATCACAGAATAACTTCACTATTTGTAGTAAATAAATTAGCTTGTTATGAAATTCTTCTATTACACATGCATAGAAAGGCTTAGCATCAGGCATGCTCTCAGAAGAAGAATTCTCAGTGATGAACGATCGGTGATAGAAGGGATCTTGAGATTATGGCTAATCTCATATTGGAACTGGCAACATGTTGTCTCAAAACTGAAACTGAATTCTATTTTAAGAATGAGGAAAGAGCCAGGAGAGAATCTGAAGTAAGACAGGAAAGAGATCTATTCTGTTAGAAGAAGAAAAGATATTTATCAATGATGTCATCAAACTGCTCATTCCCTGCAACTCACTCAGAGCTCTGCACTGGTTATTTCTGAAGAGTGAAATTTCCAGTTGCTCTGTGGCATCTGTATGTGGTGAAAAGTAGGTTTCACAGAGGTCGTGAGAGACTATATAGAGAATTTTATCTGGAAATAAAGATGAGCTGTAACATGGCGTTTCCACCGTCAAGTCATGTATGACAGCATTTGAATCAATACATAAATGGAATAGGAGGAGGTAAAGTTGGAGGAGCTTGTATAGGTAAAAATAGAGACAACATAAAGTTTCCCTGGGAGATGGTTTGGGAGAAATAAAGAATGAATAATACTGGATGATGCCAGCCGATAAAAAACTTACTTAAAAGATTCCCACTCCCCTTGGGGAGTACTGGGCTACTTCTAACTCTTACTTGCCTTTACAATAACATCTCAAAAACTGAAATGTCTTTGTCTGGCACCAAATTCAAGACTCCAGTTTAATCTTTTCAGACTCAATTCTTATTTATGGGAGCTGATGGAAGTTTAAGTAACAAAATTGGTTCTATTTGTTAAGTATGTGCATCCTATTTCCATCCTAGAATTTTTAAGAAGCATATCCTGATTATTTCACATAAATGTTGCTGACTTCCATTCCTTTAATCAATATAGAGCAGAATGACTACGTTTTGTTATGTGATCATTTAGTACAAATTAAAGACTGGATGTAGTGATACAGGAATATTTAGAGGTACTTTCTAAAGGCTAACTATTGAAGGAAAAAAATAACAAGCAGAAGTAAAGGTAGAGGTTTACAGCTAAATATTAAATAATTTAACAAATTATAAATTATTTGATGAAGTTAAAAAATATCACTTTTACTTCCAAAATGATAGAGGCACTAAAGAATAAGTGAAATTCTGCCACAGATAGCAGCTTAAAACATCTTCCTAAGCTAGAATAGTGGGAGGCTCTAAGAGTTTTCATCAATCAATCAGAGGCAGTTTTAAAACATGAGAAACTGAGGGAGGTCTGAATTGATTTGTCTGTATATGGGGAAAAAAAAGAAAACAGATCTGAAAACAAATTCTCTGGTACCCACAGGAGAAGCATCATATATTGAACCAGTGGGATACTATTAGACTTTTATTATCACAATTGAATATTACTTACTCTGATTATTGCCTGATACATTTCAAGAGAAAAACAAGTAAGAATGTGAATGCTTTCCTCAGCTTAGATGGTTTGATTGTGCATGTGAATATACCTGATAAATGTTTACAAGAGTGATGCTTATCTGAGTAGATAAGCTGTTACCAGGACAGGAGGCTTTTTCACAACCTGCAGGTGTAAAAGTTAACCTTTGTTAAAAATCCTAATCGACAACAAAAGAATCCTTAAGTATTTGTTTTGATCAATAAATTTATTTCAAACGTAATCAAACTTATATCACTATTAATTAGAAGGGAACAGTAAGCATTGTCACTCTTAGCTTTTGGTGTCTAACTTAGATGCCAAAAGGAAAGTTATCCTTCCTGCTTTTACTGTTATTTCACCAGGCAATTTAGATGATCCACCCCCACTTCAGGAGTAATATTGTGTAGTTAGGGAGAAAAGACAGCTAGGTTAGGTATCTAAAGTTAGATAGTGTGACTTTCCCTCATTGTATCCTGTCTTTAGTGTCAGTAAACCTACCATTTTGATCTAGCTTTGCTCTGAGAAAAAAGGTTGCTGTCTTCCATAAAGGTGGCTATTAGTTGCAAATACAGTACTGTTCCCAGCAGACTTGGACTCTCTCTCAGATTTTACAGATATCCCAGGTAACTGAACAAGTCACTTTGTGTCTCCACTTTTAGTCATATGACTTAGGGGTCAGACTGGGGAGTTTAAGTTCCCTATATCCCCCAGGTGCTCTCTCAAACATCTTGAGAGCTCCACTGACAAAAGAGAGACTGTAGGCTTCTAATTTAAGCATCTATATTAAATACTTTAAAATAGGTAGTGTGAATACCTATCAGAGAGAAGCAAAGTCCAGGCACTCCCATAAAGCTGCAGCAAATCAGCAATTACAAATAGGTGCTATAGATTTAGGCAACAGGTGAGTTCTGTTCATTGCAAGATCATTTTCTCCTGCTCCTTACCTGCTTTTAGAAAAACATTTTAAGCTGCTAAAAATGTTGTCTACTGACAATGAAAAAAGGTTAACAGTAAAATAAGTCACAAACTAAGCCTGTTAAGCATAGTCTGAACTTTTGTTCAGTTTTGTAATCTGGCCTCATAAGCTCTAACACGTAACTGTATCGTTTATCTATGGCCTTTTTACAGAATATCTGAAAAGAATGAATGGAAGAATTCATGTGCTCTGTCGATATTCTCTTTGTTCCCTGTTCCTTGATGGAGACCTAGATTTTAAACCTCTGGATGAGAATGGAAGTGTGGATTTGCAGAGGTTATTTTAGGCATGCACTCTGAAGATTACAGGAGCAGTCCTCACTGGCTCCATTTTTGCTGATGAACAACCTGGCTTTGACTTGACTAAAAATAACATGGTAGTACATTGAAATGCTTTAATTTTTCTGTTGTACACTTAATTACCTTTTTGCAAGAGTAGCAGTGGTGAGCAAATTGCTTCTCAAAACAGGGAACGCAGTAATTCTCATTGTCTTTAGTGATCAACGGTTTTGTTCCCAATGGTTGCCGGCAATACTGGCAAACAAAACAGGATTCATGCCAGGAGCTTCCTTTAAATTCCATTTTACGGGAACCTGCAGAAACCAAGCAAACAGCGCCCCCAAATATAGCCGTAGAATGTGTTCTACAAAGTAAGAAGATCTTGTCTTTGATCTTCTATCTCAATATTAGCTGTATTAACCAAGAAAGCACTTTTAACCTCTATTTAGTAGAGTTGACAAGCATGTGCTTAACTGCAAGAACACATGTATTGTTGTGTGCTCATCTGGTAAAAGTCATGCTAATTTGCCTAAGCTGTGATTTTAGAATGCTTAATTATATGAATGTTTTAGGATAAATTCTCTGTGATATGCTTCAATAGCTCAGAGTTTCTCTCAGGCCAGTCAACTCAGTGATAATATTCAGGTACACAACACTCCTATAAATTAAGGATGAATTTGCTTAGCTGTTTAGTACATCTACTAATCTGCTGTCCCTTGCCTTCCTTAAACTAAGTCTCCGTCATTTATATATGCATTATTTCTTATTCATCTTAAGCTGGCAGTGGTTTTTTTTTTTTTTTAAAGTAAATATCTTCTGTGAAAAAGCAGACTACACTGCCTCTTCTTACAGTTCATCATTTCCATTCTAGATAAACAGTTCTTTTTCATCCTATTCAACTGGATGTTCTGTTCCATTGTAAGGTCAGATGCAAAAGAATGTCACTCAGTTAAATGTCACTCAGTTAAACGTCTGTGAGAGGAGGTTCAGAGCTCCTTACTTTGTGTGCAGGTGCGCTGTGTACCTTAATGGAGTTGTATACTTCTAAGATATAGGCACATATGTCTGAGAATGATTCTTTCAGTGACTCTCTACAGCTTCTTTCCCCTTTGGTAGCATCAGACTGCAGAGAGAGGAGACAGGCGCTATACAATCCTTTCCACAGGAAAAAGAGAATTGTTGATACAACTGACTAAACCAGGAACACCTGCTTCCAGAATCGGTGGATTAGAGAAGGTTTGTGGACAATCATGCAAAAACCACTGTATTCTGGTGGTATTCTTGTCACATCTAGTAAGATGTATCTATTAGATAACATTGCTTTAACTCTGTCAAAATTAAGCAGTATATCACTCCTGAACTGAACAAAACAGTATTGCAACAACATATGATGATATAATGAAATGGATATGATATAATGAAAAGGAAATAAACTGTGAAAGTTCATAATTGCACCAATGTTATGGGTTGAATCAGTACATCAGTAACCTAGTATTTATATTAAGACAATAATTCTGCGCAGACCAGACTTTATTGTTTGGCATGAAGATCTACTGAAAAATAAACTTCCTATGCTGCTGCTCCGTTTACTGATGTCCTTGGCTAGAGGTTCCCAAACTAGTCGTTATGAGGCCATAGCAGATAGTTTGCAGCTGGTATTTGGAACTATGCTCTACTCTTTACTTTATGAATTGGTTAGCTCCTTAAGGATGTGCTGGTAATCTGTAAAAAAGTTTAAGCACTGAGACTAGTTCAGTGTTTCAAATGTCTGGGACCCCCGGGGATGAGCTACTTCATTTTGCGCATTTGGCTGCTCTTACTTCCCTTAGATGGCTTGGAAGAGGCAGCTTTTAGGCGATCTCTCTGCTGCATTAGCTTTACTGATGTGGAAACAATGAAAGCACTAGAGGATGCCCTAAACAGGCATGATCAAAAACTGAGAAGTAGTTTAGTGAAAAGTGTGGAATTTTCAAAGCTGCTTATGGCAGGAAATAATCCTATCATAAACACATCTGTATATGTGTTCTTTTTAGCAAAAATGTTGATAATGATTTGAACACAGAATGTCGTGTTTTGACAATTTAAGCAAAAAATATTTTTGAGCAAAATAAATAGTTTATAAAGAACATGAGCCAGGTTTGATACTCAAAGTCTGGACAACGTGACAGACAAAATGCAGATGTCTTGTCTAGTCTCACACTCCCACTAACGATAGCTCTGTTTGTCTACCTACACTGACAGTGGGATATGCTTCCTAAAAATTGCAAGCAATATCAAGGATTCAACCTGAGCACATTTTATTGGTTTTTAAATTCTAATGTTCTTTATAAGGATTTATAAACCCCATCACTGCTGGACCAGAGATATCTGTCTTCCCTCCATTCACTGGTACTGGAAGGGTACTACCTGGAGGAGACGTAGTCGCCTGAAAGCTGGTCTGAACGTCAGGGACTTTGTAGCTTGTTTATTCAAGGAGGAGCTTTTAGTTAAAAGTGCGATTTCGTTTTTCATTAAATGGTGCCTGGTGTCTTACCTGGCATAATAGTCTTCTGGCAGTGGAAACACTTAGATGAGTACTCATCCGAGTAGCATTCAGTACACAGCAAGAGCTCATCCTTGGCAGCAAATGGCTTCTCCACCAGAGAGCGACTGCATTTGGCACACTTGAAGCATGCTTCATGCCAGTGGCGGCCTTTGTAGGCCAAGTCCTTGGAAAAAGTAAGTCCATGTTAGTGAAGGCATTTCTTTATAGTGTTCTTTCCCCCAGCTCCTCCTAGGAAAAAAAGTGCAAAATGAAAAGCACTTGAATTGCAACTAAAGCATTAACATGAGTATCTGGCAGTGCAGTCAAAGGTAAGTACTGAAAGTCACTGTGTCTGGATATTTTGTAGATCTCTTGTATAAGCCATTAAGACCTGCTTTGGCACAAGCAGCTGCCCTTTTGTATTTAACATCAGAGATACGTTTTTATTGTAAGAACCGTTTTATATTTCAAAGTTGGCCTTCAAGGGGAAACAAATAGTTAACTTTTTTTAATGTGCACAGACCACCTGAAAAGAAGTGCATTCTCCATAGACTTCTAAATAGAACTTCATGTATTTTTTAACACCACTTTCTTCCAGAGGACTAAAGGAAGGTCATATTATTGCAGAGAATAAGCATTTAAAACCTCATTATTTGAGAAAGAAATGATTCTTATGAAGATTATTTATAAAAACATTGCTTTTGTTTACACCTAATATAACTCCTCATAAAAAGTTGGCAGGAAGCTGTTTGTTTAAGACTCAGCAGGCTTAAGGGCCAAGAAAGCTAACAGTGTATATATGAGACCTCCACTAAGAACTCAAAAAAAGAGCAAATAGCAGATTTTATTTTTCCAAAGTTAAAAAAAAACAGTGGAAAAATGCACACCACCACCACCAAAAAAACTCACAAACCCTTAAAAATAAACTGGACCCTTCCAGGTCTTCTTTATAAATAATGAATGAAGCACAAAAGGGCACAAATCCAATCTATTTTTTCTGCTTTTTCAGTACCCCTCCCTTTAAAATATTGAAACAAGAAGTGAAATACATACCAAGCTGCATTTTAGGAGGTGCTGAGCACTTACCAATTTTGTTGGTAAAACAGCCTATCACCACAGGGCAGCCTGAGGCAAAGAAAGGGGAAGAAGGGAAGGAAGAGAGCAAAGCTCTAGCACCTCAGTACTGGTACTCTCTGGGCCATTTGTCCAGCTGACTCTGGCTTGTTGCATCCCTTTCATGTTCCTCCTGCTGTATTTTTCTCCTAATTTTTCCTTCCACTCAGTCCAAAGTCTTGATTTTTTTATTAATGATTGCTGGTCATTTAGTTAATTTTATATATTAAAGTGGAATTAGCCAACGCAGAGCATATGTTCTCCGGGTGACCCTGACTGAGGCTACCTGTACAAGTTTACTGTTGAAGTGGCTGGTCAGAGTTTGAGGACAATCTTCATCCAAATCAGCATTTTCCTTTGAAGATTCCTTTACAGTCCTGAACTGTACTCACAGCTTGTCCTTAGAGGACCATGAGGTACATTGGCTGGACATACTTCCTGAGAGGCTTATTTTAATAACTTTATGACCTTTTATTCCAAATGAACATAGGCAAAGGAAGCATGGGGAGAAGGTACATACTGAACTCAGCAAAACAAAGGTGTTTGTACAGTATTCATCAGAACCTAAAATTCAAAGTCAAGCGTGCAGGCTGTAAATTGAATTAAAGGATGGGGAAACTCCTGACAAAGAGCACAAGGGAACTCATTAATATTTAATGTTCTTAAAAAAGGGGAGAGGTGAAAGGAAAGCAGAGCCCAGAAAGACTCACTAGCTTGTCACCTATGAGACAAGGAAGGTAAGCAGGGAAGTAAGTTAAAATTAAAATATACTTTGTTTCCAAAAAATAGAAGGTATAACATAAAATTATAAACATGATTTCTTTTTCGCTTGACATCTATATGTGAATACATATAGAAGTAGTAAATTATAGTAGAAGTAAATTATACAATATAGTTAAAATTATTTTCAGTGGCTTTCTCTCAAATTCTAAAGTTTCATTCAACCTAATCCACTGAATTATCAATAGAAAAGGGAAAAGAAAAGTTGCAGCTATGCAGGATAGCAAAGAGAAAATTAAACAAATCGAAACTTTCTTTTACTTCTTTTCTGCTGTTGCAAGAACCACCCTCCAAAGGAAAAAAAAATGCAACAAAAAACCCAGAATGGCAATATGAAACCCCATACTTACAGCCAGAGACCTCAAATATATTGTCTTGTTAGGACATAATCACCACACATCAGTTTTCAATAGCAGGTGTTCAGAGTGTGATCCACAGCATGTGCTTGCCCCCCAGGGGAGCTGCGCAATGCAGCAACCAGAAATCGGGAGTGATAGTGGAGAGGCGAATTGAACACCGCACTTTAGAAATATCTAAATACCTAGCTCTGGGCCACAGGAAGGTGCTTACTTCCACTAATAATTTTCAACAGTAAATCCTCTCCTGAGGTTCAGTGCTAAGACAATCCTTTCATAAAATAAAGACAGTAAGAAAGAATATGGATTCCAGTTAATGTCTCCAAGAGGTGTGATGTTTCTAATCTTGAATCTGGACCTAGCTGACCTTGAATCCAGGTCCCCTGCACTCAAATGCATGCCTTCAACACAGGACAGAGCAGTCTGCTTCCTTGGCTTTCACTCAAGAGTATTTAACTACATTAAAATGCAGAGGCCAGTGCACAGAGAGACTGAATGAGAGTCAACTCACAGTCTTCTCCGGCCCAGTAGTTAGAGTATCCTGCAAACATGTAGGAACACTTAGTTGAACTTAGGTAAAGCATTCAAGTGTGGGTTTTCTGTAGGCCAGAAAACTCCTCTGACTGATAGGCTTTTTGATGTGATAGGAAGACACACATTGGCAGGCTTCAAAGATACATGCAAGAATGTCACTGAATAAGATTCAAAGAACGTAACAGGCTTAATGAAAACTTCCTGATCTTGCAATTGGGAAATGGGAGATCTGCTGAGGTGGACTTGTTAAACTTAGAGAACCCAGGGGCTTTTGAGGTAAATTAGCCCAGGAAATATGTTGTATGGAAATCCTGCCAGGGCTTGAACATAAACTACTGATATCTGACAATCGCAGGATTTAGGTAATTCCTAATATCTCTGTATTCTCAAGCAGGTGAGTTTATAATGAATGCCAGATACTGGAAGCATGTGCTTGAAGTCCTCTGTCTCACATCCAACCAGGTATATAAAACTTGATAAGTGCCATTTTCTACCATAAATACTTAGGAGTACTATTGATATAAATTAAATAAGTCTAGTTTTTCCATGATGCATCAGCAGCCCTGCTACACCTCAAGCACTGTGCAGTCTTTTCAGCTAGGAAGTAAGTGGAGGTGAAGGGTGGAATCCAGTGTGTAAACCGAAACCACTATATGGTTCTCACCCTATATTTGCGTTTTTCAGGTGCACGTAAGTGTACATTCCCTAGTGTTCGGCCCCGAGCTTTCCTATCCCGAGTCAGCACTGAATGTTCCCCCCTGCTGTGCATGGATGCACAACAGCTGTGCTTGGGTCTCTTCACCAGCACAGGGATATGATACAGAACCCATCATAAAAGAAATGGGATTTGTCTGTAATTTAACAAGGACCAGCAAGACAAAGCTAAATCCTTACCTTGGAATCACACTCAATAGGTTGCTTGCACTCTTCACAGGAGTTGGCAAATAAGCTGTCGTAACATGTAACACAATAAGCATTTTCCTCTCTTAATGCATATTTCCTCCCACGAAGAGACCGCAGGCAGTAATGACAGTCTGTGTGATTACTAGTCATTCTGGTGGGGTGCTGCCTGTGATCTGGAGAAATGGAAAAAACATGTAATTCAGTGGATGAGAGTTTGCCTGAGCCAAAAATAAATAATGTTGCTTCGCTAATGAAAGTTAGAACAGGTGTTTCTTGATACTTGCAGAACACTGAATTTCTAATGCAGGGCTGTTCCATAATAAAAGGGTAGTCTTAACACATAATAGTAGTCTTTAACATATATGTATTGTTGTAGTCCTTAATGATGGTAGTATAATTTATAATAGTATAACATATAATGGGTAGTCTTAAACAACATATACTAGGTATTGTGTTAACTACATAATGGGGAGCAAGCAAGTTGCTTCAGCTTAGCCCAGTGCTACTTATACTGATAGTACACGTACCTGAAAATGAAGTTGTCTTCACGTTCCAACAGCCCTGGATAGCAAAAGAGCAAAGTGAAAAGTGAAATAAACCAGTCAAATCCAAACCGAATCCTAACTCAAAGCAAGTTTCTCTTTTGTTTTCGCTGCAAAAGATTGTTTTTTCTGACATGTCTCTGTATTGCCAGGTTCCATCTTGGTAGTGCCAAAATACTGAGAGCTAGATGATATTTCTGTGCCAGCCAAGTGCAGGAAATACCGCAAATCTATTGAGAGCCAATTCTGTATTTCCCATCCTTCATTTTTCCAGGCTAAAGAGGCTTGGATAAGCATCCAGACTTCAGCTGCTTATATGTCTGCAATGCTGAACATTTTAAGGACTGTGGAGATGGAGACTTATTTCAGCCTTGTTGTTGCTCGTTCGCTCATCAGCACTTTGCTAAAATTGGGTCTTAGTTCCTGGGAATGGAGGAATAAAAACCCAGAAAGTTCCCAGTGAAGCAAACCCAAAAACATCTGGTGGACTCATCGGATTGCAATCATCATTAAACTCATCAAATTAATCACTGCAATCAGTGCCAGAAATCATAAATTTTAGAGGATTTAAGAAAAAGTGCTGCAAGTCTCTTAAGGTATTTACAGATCAGTGACCTTTCAGCTGAAATCTTTGCACTTTGAAAAGTGATGCAAGTCAGTTTATCTTAACCAGATGCAAAGCCTGAGAACAAGGAAGAGAAGCATATGAGGAACAAGGTTTGAGGGAGCACTTACCATCACAGAGCTTCCATTTAGCCCATTGAAAAGTACTCACTCTATTACTTATTTTTATATACTAACTGCCTATCACATAACTGCAGTTCAGCTTTAAAGAGGCATTTCTGTCTTTTTTGGGTTTCTGCTCTGTGAACCACAAGATGTAATTCCAAAGGATAGTTTAAACTGTGTGAAAGAATAATTACTGCAGGTAATTGCGCTACTGCAATTGGTACTAGCGCAAATGCTTAAGGCCAGGAATTTTTAATATGTTCCTGGAGGGGCTGTAGTAACACTGTGAAAAAGGGGCAGGGAGACAGGCTAGGATGCTTATCTTAGACCAAAAGTAATGATCATTTGGCACAAGCTATGTAAAACTTTTTTTTTCCTGTAAATTGAAAATCTTTTGGGTTGAATTGATTTACTATTTTTCTGACTGCCCTAAATCTTTGTGCTAGCCAAGACAGGGTGCAGTAAAGAAGTCAAATAGTCTGCAACTCAGATCATTGGAAATATCTGTTTACTTAAAAATATTACAGATGCTTTTTATGTCCTGTCCTTGGAATAATAGTGCTTGAATCTGGACTTCCATCTCCTTAGTGTTGGAGACTTGAATGTGTGAAGAATGAACCCATGTATAACAGAAAATGACATCCATCCGGGTGTATATTTACATGATGCGACATATAAAAAGATGTGTATAGCACAGGAATTCAGGGCAGGAGTACTACATAGTCATCCCTAATTTCAACGTTAACAACTTTTGTTCATTTTCTTATACAGTGAGGAAGCAGTATAAATTGGTGGTTAGGGAGACAGTCAAGAAGGAATGTTTGTGGTTGACTGGGCTCCATATTCAAGGTCATGGGACAGGCTTGAAACTGGATTTCAGAGGAATTTTCATTCCTCTCTTTGTGGGAATTATAGTTTTAAACACCCTCTGAGGATCACCCTGATCAGACTCCCTTTCCGATTCCCCCCCTGCTGACCCCGAACCTCAGCTTCCCCCAAAAGTTCCATCACAGTCCAACAGCAGCAATTGAAAAATACTAACAGAGCATGCATGAAGAACTTATTTGTGTATACTTACAGTGCTTTTTATAGCACAAAGCTCACCAGAAAATGGCTTCAGGTGTCTGCAGGTGCATCTCTGTTTGTTTATTCTAGTGAATGGCAATAAGCTATTACACTATTGAAAAGAAAATTGTGCATTCCCAACATTTTTCTTCAAAAAGTGGCTCACTTTTATTTTTTTTATCCTAGGCCAATCTGTTCCAGAAAGTCTGGGTTATGTGCTCACATGAGACATGCCACTGCAATACACAAGAACTTCAGAATCTTTAACATAGTCCTCCTAAAAACCTATATGGGAATAAAGTGCTATTAATTACTCTTGTTTTACAGCTGAGACCAGTTGCTGGAGAACATTAAAATGAGGATCCACAGAAAAAAAAAAGAAATAAAAGGGTGGGGGGGGGCGCTTGAAGCTGCTCCCCTAGTAAAGCACTCAGATTCTATAAGGCTTTTTTTTTCAAAAAAAATTTCAGAGTTTGGCCATGATGAAATAAGACCATGTTCGGCTATGAAGCAGAGATGGTATGAAAAAGACTAATTTTTGCAGGTTTCTTGGCAAAGATCTGGGTAATCTTTGTGAAGTACTTTTACCGTTAGATAACAAAAAAGCGTAAGTGAATCACGTCTCCCCCAGCACTGCTTACCCTTGCCCCAATAAATAAATAATATTACGAGCATCACGCAGTTAAGTAGAATATTTTTCTTGTGCTTTGATCCTAATCTCTAGAGAAATATGTTTACTTTGAGTTTTCTGGAAGCTGGACTTCGTGTTTTGGAGGTCAGTTAGGAAATCTCTGGGGAGCTGCAGCTATTCACTCTCATGGAATGAAACGCTGACTCCAGCATCCCAGCTGCTAGTTTGTGTCCTAGGCAAAGGGAAGTACTGAGACTTCTGCATTCCTTGGGAAAAGATTATTTTGTTGTCTAAATTGGAGCAAAGTAAAGTACAGTTGATTTGAATGTGTATAGTAGGCACAGATATGTGATCTGTAGTGTCAGAATACTCCAAAGGGTGCAGAGGAATGTTGCCGAGGACGTACGGACATTGCACAGATGTCCCTGGGGTCAGATTCGCAAATGCAGCAGTCTCATGGTACAAATTATGAAGCAGATGAAAATAAAGCAACACAGAGCTGTTTTTTCTGCCTGCTGTTCCAGCAGAGCAAGACGGAACACAGCTAACACAAACTAGGAGAGGGACTTGCTCTAGAGTCAAATTCTTTCCTGTAAGATGTAGAGGGCTAAAAGACTTCCAGAGACGAAAGCCATTAGAAAATGATTGTGAAGTCCATCCAAACCTGACGAATGTGGAACCAACAGGAAAGGAATGCTGGCATTTTAATATCTCTTTTAATAAATTACCTTGATATTCTCTATATGAATGATGATTATATGAATGTACAAAGCCCAGAAATATTGATTCTATTAGATGGAAGTGAATAGACATTTATGTACACACATTGTATATATTTATAAGCACATGTAAAAATATATCTTTTGGTTTATGGCCTTCTCACGGACTATTTCCTGATCTAAATAAGCCTGCCATGAACTACCTCATCTTTTGCCTTAAGAACATGTGATAAATGGAACAAGGCTCTCCATTAGACTCTGAAACAGGCATAACGAAAGAAAAATGATGGCAAAATAAATCATTGCAATAACACTGAAGGAAAAGAAAAATGAATCGATCTATTATGAGGGACACACCCCTGTAAGCCACCTCAGGCAGTTATTTATTTTCAGTTAAGTATGTTTTTTTCTCTGAACATAGTTTTGCTCATTTGCATGAATTTGGTCATTTCATTTTCCCTGTTTTTTTTGTGAAAGCTGCTAAACTATTCATCACAAATACATTTGCAAAATACATTAGCGACGCGAGGTTAGAACTGCGTTCTAAATCTAGCAATACCATTATTTTATAAATAAAAGTTTCTAAGAATGCTCTGCAAGGAAATTTTTCTCATTTCAGAGATCACAGCTTCTTTTTTTCTCTGGAGGCCTGCTATCCCCTAGAAATCTGATATTTTACTGTGACTAGACCTAGTAAAGGGGGAAAGAAAACCAGGGCATTTAAGTGTTTGCTGCATTTTCAAAACACTGGCAATATCCTTGCAAACATTTGGGCTGCTACAGAGCTGTCACTAAGTTCTGCTCTTAAGTAGCCAGGACAGCCATGGTAACTGAAACTGGGCTATAAAAGTATGATTATAATGCTTCAAGGTCCAAAAGTGACACCATGTTACTGGACTGTCTAGGCAAAGCAGCTCACATAGTGGTTGATCCATCAACGGCACCATGCTGCTTTGTGCCATGTTTACATACCCTACAACCATGAACAAAGAGGGGAATAACTCTGACTTAAAAAGGGGGTTTGGCATCCCAGGAATTCTGCAACTTTCTCCTTAATTGGTATTGCTGTGAGCTTTGTTTACTTCCTGTAAATTCAGACATTGTTGTCATCATCTAAACTCACTTCCTTTATCCTAGTGCAACATAATTTGCCACTTGCTTAAACCTCAAACTAATGAAAATATGTGTACTAAGGGTTTGCAGTGGTGCGATATACACAAATCTTGCTGCAGACAAGACCTGACTAGTCAACGTCCCTCAAACGCTCCTTACTAGTTACAGAGTGGGCTGGAATCTCCTGGCCTCATTACTTCTATGGCCATCTAGGGTTTTCCTTTAAACTATACAAGTTTCACCAGCAGCATCTAGCTTGTCCAATACAACTTGAGCTTGCTACCCATGTCATACTGAGGGATTTAGTTCGCAATACTTAAATTAATGTATGCCTCTCTCCTAACGAATATCAGGAGTTTTACTATTGAAGCTCA